CCCCCGAGCACCACCAGGAGTAATTCCTGAGTGCAGAACCAGGAATAACCCCTGTGCAAGGCGGGTGTGACCCAAAAAGGAAGAAAAGACAGAGACAGGACCTTCCTAATAACTCTCTCTACAATTTCTTCTTGAAAGTGGATGTGAAAATGATGCCTGGGAGGAGGCACGGGACTTTTTCCACCATATCTGAAGTTTTAGAAAAAGAATTGATATCTTAGGGCTGGATTGACAACGGGTAGGGCACTTGTCTTACGCATGGCCCACCTGGGTTCAGTCCCTGCCATCCCATCTGATCCTCTGAGCATCACTGATTGTGGCTTCTCCCCTGGGTGGGGATGGGGGGAGGGAGGGGGGGATTGCTATCTTCTAGTCTGTTACCATCTGAAAAAAAATTTTTCATTCCCCACCTACTGGGTTTTTTTTTCCCCCCTTGACAAGAATTCTTTGCCCAAAAGCAGCAGCAAACTAGCAAAACCTTTAGAAAAGTGTTGGTGGTGGGGAAGGTGTCGTGTTATGACATAAAATCTCAAGGTAAGCCCAAAGGAACCACTTAGTGGACCTGTTTTCATACATACTCAGTTTCCTTCCATATGACGACCAGCATTAGTTTTCAGATGAGAACAGGTGTGGGATTGATTGCTGAAGGCATTGTTAGACTTCAGAGCTAAGGAAGTTGGGATTTTTTTATTTTGTGTCTATCTAATACATCTGTGAATTTGAAATTTTGTTCACTCAAGTGAATACCCACTGTTCTGTACATAAAGGCCTTAGGAAACGCAGTATTTTTTTCACTTGAATTGGCATACCAAATACAGTGACCCTTAATCATTAATTTTCTCCTTCGAGGTGAGGACATACAGAACAGAAATAGAAATATTGGGGGTAAGGGTTCTTTCAGAAAGCTGTAAGCCATGATTTTCAAGGCTGTCATGCTCACTTTAGAGATAAAAGCTTCCACAAAGACTGCCTTGACAAAGCAATCAGCGGGTTTCCGCAAACAGCAATCTAGAAATTTACAGACATCTGTATTATAAATTTTAATTGGTGGTGGGCGGCATTTGTAATTTTAGTCAGTGATTAAGGCTTCACTGATGACGGTTGAACATCTCTATACCACATTCACACTGAATTTTCAACATTTGGCTGCATTTTAGTCTTTTTTTTTATTGTGAAAATAAAATCGATCGTGTATGATGATTTTTTTTTCATTGTCAAAATGTGTTAGGGGGAAATGCACTTGGGATCCAGAGAGATAGAACAGCAGGTCAGGTGCTTGTCTTGCACACAGCCAGACTGGGTTCAGTCCCCAGTACCCCATGTGGTCCCCCAAGCCTCGCCAGGAGTGATCCCTGAGAACAGAGCCAGGAGTAAGCCCTGAGCATTGCAGATCAGATGTGTAGCCCAAAAACAAAAGAAAGTTTAAGAGAACTCGGCTGCCTGGATCTGCTCTTTGCATGCAAGAGGCCCAAGCACCACAGTGAGCAGCCCCCAAGTTGCTGAGAGCAACTCCTGAGCACCACTGAGTGTGGCCCCAAAAATTATTACTGAAGACTAAAGTCTCTTCTGAATTGGCTTTTGTTGTTGTTGTTGTTATTTTTTGCTTTTTGGGTCACACCCGGCAATGCACAGGGGTTACTCCTGGCTCATGCACTCAGGAATTACTCCTGGCGGTGCGCAGGGGACCATATGGGATGCTGGGACTTGAACCCAGGTCGGCCGTGTGCAGGGCAAATGCCCTACCCACTGTCCTATCACTCCAGCCCCTGAACTGACTTTTATATCATCCAGCCAGTTATGCTGTGATCATGAGGGCAAATGTAAGATTCGTAGCTTAAGGGCTATAGAGATAGTACATGTGTTAATGCACATGCCTTACATGTGACCAACACTGACTCAATCCCTGGCACCACATGGTCCCCGAGTACTGCTGGTTGTAGTCCTGAATGCTCCCAGTCCCACTGTGGTGGCCCAGGTAATCCCCAAAGGCAAAAAAAAAAAAAAAAGGTGCTGAGAGTTAAAACTCCCATAATACAGAAGCTGTTCCTAGATCAGTAACATCTTTCCAGTGTTTTTCAGAGTCTACTGAAAAGTTAGATATTTGACTGCTTGGAGTGCCATTTCCTTACAATGTCAGACAAAAATGCCCAAAAGGACAGAACTACAGAGAGAAGGAATAACATAGCACAGCGGGTAGGGCGTTTGCCTTGCCCGAGACCGACCCAGGTTCCCCCGCCCCTCTTGGGAGGGGAGCCCGGCAAGCTACCGAGAGTATCTAGCCCCGCACGGCAAAGCCTGGCAAGCTCCCCATGGCGTATTCAATATGCCAAAAACAGTAACAAGTCTCACAATTTGTTGTGAGATGTTACTGGTGCCCGCTCGAGCTAATAGATGCACAACGGGAGGACAGTGCTACAGTGCTACAGTACTGCAGAGCTATAGTTTTCTAGACTCAGTCTTTTGTGGTTTCCTTGTATGGGGGTGAGGGGGCCAGTTCCATACCTGGTGGCACTTAGATGCTCCTCCTGCATTTCTGGGGCTTGAACCCAGGTCTCTGGCATACAAAGCATTTGCTCAGCCCATTGAACTATCTCCCCAGCCCGCTTGCTCTTTGTACACAAAGTCCCTCTGACTTGGGTTTCTGGGTTTTTAACCTGCTCTGCCTGTTATTTTTCTTTCTTACGGCCATTTTTTTCATTCTTTCCTTCTTTTGACCCTAGAGAGGGAAAAACAGCCTTTTGTTTTGTTTGGGAGCCACCCGTGGCTGTGCTCAGTTGATTAATCCTAGTTCTGCGCTCAGGAATCTTTCTTGGCGGATTCAGGGAAGCAAACTTCGGATTTGATTCAGATTTGATTCAGGTTCAGGCGCTCCCAGCCGCGTGCAAGTGCCCTACCTGCTGTACTGACTCTCCCACCTGAAAAAAAATCTTTTTTTGAGTGAACTTCAAATCCATTCATTTGGGTCTTTGTTTCTTGAACGCAGCAGCCTCCTTTCACTGTGTTGAAATAGACGCTGTACTTTCCCCTTTGTCTTCCGTATTTTTTCCCCATAGCTGTTGTTTTTTCTTTTTTTTTTTTTTTTTTTTTTTTTTGGTTCGAGCACTCATTCCTTCACCCGTGCACATTTCCCACCACCAGTGTCCCCAGTTTCCCTCCTTCTGCCCCCTGGTTTTCCATCTTCCCCACACTGTGAAGATTTGGATTTTCTCCTGAGTCCAGGTTTCTCTGGTCTCCCCATCTTCCTCTCTTCTTTTTTTTCCCTTGCTTTTTGGGTCACACCTTGCGATGCTCAGGGGTGTCATATAGGGTGCTGGGAATTGAACCTGGGTCGGCTACATGCAAGGCAAATGCCCTACCCACTGTACTAACACTCCAGGTCCTCTCTTCCTCTCTTCTAAATCACTGCTCTTCTCTAATAAATCTGGTGCCACTGCCCCTAGTTGTTATTGTGCGTGCTCTCCCAGCCCCAGGATCTTGAGAACTGGCTTGATTTCCTTCTTCCCTGGTAAACCATCTGTGTCATGCATTCCCTTTTCCTTTTTTTATTTATTTTTTTTTTTCTAGCTTCCTGATCCTGCCTTAGACCTATCCTTACCTCATTTTAAACCCTCAAGAGCTTCTCTGTGTTTTAAGGCAAAGCCCTAACAAAGGATACCATTCGAAAGAGACTGTCTTATTTGCCCTATTTATTCCTGCAATAGCAAGTTCAAAGTCAATGCTTAATCTCTTTTGAGTTATACTTCCAAGTCATTCGTATCAAAAAATAGTCTCTTCTCTGTGTTAAGCTGCTACTTTTATTTAATTGAAAGATACCATTATCAGTTACACTTTCTGCCACTAATTTGAAGGTTCCTGATGTGGAGTGTATTTTTAGTTGTAACATCAATAGGAAACTAATTTTTTATCCTTTTTTTAAAAATATTCTTCTTTTTAATAACCAATGTCTTTTGTCAAATAAGAAAAATAACTATAGGTGCTGGAATTTAAACCCTTGTAAGTTTCAAGACCCATTTCATTATTTTTGAATCTGATACCTAGATTATAGGTATTCCATTTGATAGACAGGAGATATTCTCTGGAAGCTCTTGTCAGCCCTCTCATAAATTTCTTCCTGCTGTACTGCAGTTTGTGCCTATTTCTTTTAACAAGTTCCCTGATTCTGTGTCCGAGTGAAGTGAGTGAAGTGTTTCTTTTAAAAATCGTGACTTTGGGGAGACAGTGATTCTATGGTTAGTAGGGCACTTGCTTTGCACATGGCCAACCCACATTCAATTCCCAGCACCCAATACGATCCCCCGAGCCCGCCACAAGTGATCCCTGAGTGCAGAGCCCTGAGTAAGCCCCGAGCACCGCCAGATGTGGCCCAAACAAAACAGAACCATTGTGATGTTTAATCAGCTAAAATCAATGCCTGTGAGTGGCATGTACTCAAGAAAAGAGGAACCGTTTTCAAAAGCACAAATCTCTGGGTAGTAGCACCCGGAGAGAGTTAATAGGTTCTTTTTTGTACCATGGTTCACTTTATAGAAAAGCTGAGTTCAAAGAGGTCATAGCGTCAGAGTGCGCAAAGAGGCGCCTGTCGCTCCCATGTTCTTAGGTTTCATCGATGCTTCCCAGCCTCGCTCCTCAGAGGACCTGCTCTAGACCCTGCCCTTATAATCACCTGCCTCCCCATTCCATTCTTAACAGATATTACCTACCAGACTGCGTCTGTTAGGTCCAGTATTTTCTGTAACTTGAGCAATCAAAAACAAAAGAACTCACTACTGACTGATCGACACAAGTTCACAGTCACACTGACTTGCTGTGATTTTATGGAGAAAGGCCCATCGAGGTCTGAGTGTCCCCAAACTAATGAGCTCCCCAGCTTCTGAGCCGCTGCTTGAACCTGCTGCCTTGCAGCTTAAAATCCGAACTTTGTGTAGGCAACTGAGGAGAAAATTCCTGTGTTTCGAGTCCAGCATATTGAATTGATGCCTTCTTTGGCTTTTTGCACACAGATCGAGTATGAAAGGAAAAAGAAAGAAGACGGGAAACGAGCGCGCGCTGATAAACAATACGTTTTAGACATGCTGTTCTCAGCTTTTGAGAAGCATCAGTATTACAACCTTAAGGATTTGGTGGACATCACAAAACAGCCTGTGGTATGTATTTGTTCACACTGATCTTTTACATATGCTTTATTAAACTTGGCTCTCCTGAAAAGGCGCGTGCACAACTGTGACAATATCAGTCTTTAGCACATAGAAAAGATGCTGGGTGGGCTGGAGAGATACTGCAGTGGCTAAGTCGTTGGCCTTGCATGCAGGTGACCTGGGTTCAACCCCTCGTATCTCGTATGGTCCCCCAAGCAGTGCCAGGAGTGATCCCTGAATATAAAGCCAGGAATAACTGCTGAGCATCGAGAGTGGCCCCGAACACTCCAGGCCCCCCCAAAAAAATGGAAGAGAAAGGAAGAGAAGGGTAGGGATGGGAAGGAGGGAGGGAGGGAGGGAGGGAGGGAGGGAGGGAGGGAGGGAGGGAGGGAGGGACCGGGAGAAGGGAAGGAAGCAAACCAACAAGCAAGCAAGTACCGCAGGTGGGGGCCTTGTGCCTGACTGACCCAGGCTCCATCCCCAGCACCATGTCTGGTCTCCAAGGGCCTCCAGGAGCTGTCCCTGAGTGCAGAACCAGAAGTTAGCACTGAGCATTCCCAGTCGTGGCCCCAAAACTTGAAAGAAAAAAGAAGTGTTGATGCAGCCAGTTTTGGATAATTCATTTCAGATCAGTATCAGCTTCACTATATTTAATCACAGTAGATCCACAAGAAGCAAAGGTGAGGGGCTGGAGCGATAGCACAATGGGTAGGGCATTTGCCTTACACACAGCCGTCCCGGGTTCGATACCGTCCCAGAATCCCATATGGTCCCCTGAGTACCGCCAGGAATAATTCCTGAGTGCATGAGCCAGGAGTAACCCCTGTGCAACCCCGGGTGTGACCCAAAAGCAAAAAAAAAAAAAAAAAAAAAGAGGAAGCAAAGGTAAATTGATTTTCCTGTTGACTGGTCTTGACATTAAGTTCTTCCCCAAAAATCTCACCTTTTTTTTTTTTTTGAAGTCCTGCTCCATAGGGGTTTGGGTGATAGCTCAGAGTCCAGTCTTTGGCACCCCCACCCCCACCCCCTGCATACCACACTGATGGAGACTGAACCGTCAGGTCTACAGCCAGACAAAGCATCACCAGACACTGCCTTGGGGTCCCTTGAACACTACCCCCCTAAAAAATGGGAGGCCACTGTGCCCCCCTAAGAAATGTGCCTCATAGAACAATTTTTAATACTTTAGATTGTTAAATTTAAAATATTAGGTTATTGCATATAATTAGATTATTAAATTTTTAATATATTAGATTGCTTAGTATTTGGATTAAGATACATTTTTTAATATATTAGAGCTAATATTTACAATCTTGGCGTACACAGTTGCCTCCCCTCACCCCCGCAGTGTGCCCAAGAACACCCCCTCCCCAGGCCCCCGTGTCACTTCCGTTTGCCTGTTTCCCCACTGCCAGCCTAGTATGGGGAGGAGAGGAGACTGTTTTGAGCCATGGGGTCTGTCATACGAAAGTGTTCATCGCCTCCATTACAGGCTGAGCTCCATGGATGTTTTGTTTTGTCTTATTTCATTTCTGCTGTTGTTGTTTTGGAGTTTCCACCTGTGCAGTCCTCAGGGGCTATTCCTGCTGAGTTCTCAAGGGTTGCTCCCGGGGTTTTTCAGGGAACTGTGAAGTACTGGGGATCAAGCCTGGGCTTCCTCTGTCCAAAGCATGTGTTCTGACCATGGATTCCTTTTTACTTTTTAATCAGAAACCACCTATCCAGTAGCATTAGGTCTTTAAAACTTGAGCTGCGCTCCTTCATAGTAGTAGGTAAAACTGTAGTTGGATTGGTCTACTCTCCATTTTTATGGGAAAAAATAGTAATTTAATTTTTGAGAGCTTATTTCAAAAATCATTTCTATTATTTATGCAGACTTTTGTTCCTGTTTGCTAATAATTTATATTTCTCATGCATGCAGAGGAAAAATTCAGATTCTTTAGCCTTTGAATCACAATCACTTTTTCACACCCAATGTGTGAAATCGAGTATAGAATATCAAATAGTGAATAGAGTATCAAACTGAATTGTTACATTAGGGAATCCTTTCATTTTCTGTTCTTCCATCTAGTCTCATTTATTTTTTGTTGACAGGGCTGTTCATTCTAGCAACTTTACTCATTTACTTAGAATGTATAACAGGGTGGCCAATATTAAACATTTTAGGGGCTGAGAATGTAACTCAGTGGTAGAGCGCAAGTGTCATATATGTGACCTTGGGTCAGTCACTGGCACCAAAAGAGCAAATATTTTTGTTTGTTTTTCATTGAATCACCATGAGCTACAGTTACAAAACTTTCATGTTTGAGTTTCAGTCATACAATGATAGAATACCCATCCCTCCACCAGTGCACATTTTCCACCACCAATGTCCCCAGTATCCCTACCCGCAGGCCCCCCACCCACCCACCCACTCATCCCACCCCTCTTCCTGCCTCTATGGCAGACATTTTCTCTCTTTCTCTCTCTCTACTTACAGATCTTATGGTTAAAAGCAAACATTTTTACAGAACCAACTAACTTTATGAAAGGGCCTGACATATCTTTTCTTCCGACTTATTCAGAATGTTTGGAAGTGATTTCTGAAATTTTAATATTGATTGTACAGTTCATTTCCCTCTTCAGAGATTTCTTCGCTGTTATACTTCAACCTTTCGGTGTTTCATTAAGAAGTTAATTTAAATTCCAAGATCTCTAAATACTTATTTTAATCGAGGAAAGTGCTCCTGCTGCAGTATTATCAGCTCATCTTAATGACCTCGCTCCCTTCAGCATCAAAGCCTCACAAAGAGCATCCCAAGCTAGATAAAAATTTGAAATAGAATAATTCATTAGCTAAGCCATGTTTCTTCTGGTTTTAATGAAGTTTATGAGTTCCAGAAGCTCTGAATGTAAATAATAGATTCTCATGGCATAACAAAGAAATTAAATATGGAAGAAGCATTTGTAGAGGAACATTCGTGTAATGCTGGGTAAGACAACATTGTTTGGCTCATTTTGCATCAACAACTGGCATTTCAGCTTCAGTTCTGCAGATAATTTTTCTGTGGTGGCATTCTAAGAATCTCAAAACAGAGGTTCATTATTCGTGTTCAGTCGTGGGGCTTTTGGGGACCCAGTAATCTCTTGAATATATGCAAAAAGTCTGTGCATTTTTTCAGGATCAGATCAGAGTTGATAGCGAGTTCTCATTTAGGATTTAGGAACATTTGAAGAGCTTTTAAGAACCACTGAGCTATGAACCAACGAAATGAGTAGTGTTCCTTCAGGACAAGATTGCCTTGGCAGGCTTAGGTTTCTTGAAGAGGCTGGGATGGCCTCCCAAGCAGTACTCTACCCCAGGGACCACTCCCAGCAATGTTTGGCCTGTTCATTGGCTGAGGCCCAAGGATGCTGTGCTATTCAAGCCCTACAGTGCTGAGGACTTCAGGCCACCCCTGCAGTGCCCAGCCAGCCCCAGAGTACCAGGGATTGAAGCCCTCATGAGCACTTGCAAGCCTTGCTCCCCTAAGCCCCTTCTCACTCCCCTCACCAAAGCTTAAGTTTCTGTTTTCTGTTCTTTTACATATAAGCACCATGATTTGCAGAATGTTAATAATGTTTTGGGAATCCAGTGCTGTTATACCCCACCCACCTTCAAGAGCGTAAGTTTCTTGAGGGCAATATTATTTTTCCTAAATGTTGTATATGTTCCTAAGCACAGACATAATAGTAGTTCAGAGTTGACTCAAAATAAAAGGAAATGGTCTCATTTCGGTATTCAAGGAGCACTGTAGTTTTCTTAGATGGACTTTGAGAGGCTTCGTGTCACAGAGGGTGGAGGAAATAGAGCCAAATATTTCTGGACAAAGGTCTAAATAAAACACATTTACTGTTTAACACATTATTTAATGTTGGTTTTTTTGTTTGTTTAACAGTTGACAACATAAAATTTACCAGCATGTTCAAATTAAATGGTTGTAATATTGAATTAAAATATGTAAGCATTTAAAAACACAACCTAATTCATAGAATACTTATAGTATTAAGATAATTTTGTGCAAAATGCATTGTCAAATGCCAAGTATTTTGCTGCTAATAATAATTCTATTAAGCAGATTGTTGAGAAGCAGGAGCAATAGTATAGCGGGTGGTGTGGGATTTGCCTAGCAGGTGGCCAACCCAGGTGTGGTCCTGGCATTCCCTATGGTCTCCTGAGCACCTCTAGGAGTAATTCCTGAGTGCGAGGACAAGAGTAACCCCTGAACGTTGCTGGGTGTGGTCCAAAACCAAAAACAGATAAATAAGTAAACAGGTTGTTGAGCCCTAATAAAAGAGAAGAAAGGGAATCTTATTGTATTCATCAACTCTTTAGTACATGTATTAAATGACCTTATTTTTTAATGGCCCCTAATGCCACTTTGGATATTAACACATCTTCTGTGCTATTAACATTGTCACTCTACTTGTACCCATCTGCTTTCTGACCTTTAAGAATGTCACTTTTAGCATATTCTGAGTGAATCTGCAGTAATTTCTTGTTTTTCTAGTCCATTCCTTTCTATGTTTTCTAAAAACTTTTGCTTTTGCAAGTAAAATCAGTGACTAGAGCCAGTCAGAAGCAAACAAAGGGTTAAAGGCACTCAGGGGCAAACAAGCTCCATTTTAACTAATATGCAGTTAAATATCCTTTTAAAGAAATCAGAGCTTTTTTTTTTTTATCCTTCCAAAGTGAAATATGAGAGAAAGCCTATTATTTCTCCCCTGGCAGTCTTTGATCTTTCACCTGAAATGTGTTGTTTCTATTTTTAATTCATATTTTATTATATCTCTGAAATAGACATGTATTCAGCATTCCCTTCAAAAGCACAGGCCATTAGAAAGTTTATCTAATTGATCCCATTGAAACACCAAACAGTCAAGACCATTTGGAGCTCACTCTGTGTGCCTGTGTTCTTGGAACCTTTCATTTCTAACAGAGGGGTCATTGCAATCACTTCTGATAATAATTGCTTCAAACCTCTTAAGTC